TGCAGGTGAACACCCATCTGGTTTGTTGTAATATACATTAGTCACAGACTGACCGAAAAACGGTTTTTGATTCATTGACGAATTTGTATTCCATCATATCGCTGGAATCGATGTTTTCGGTCATCCACAGCACGCATCAAAAAGGGAAGCTTCTCGAAGAAACATCAGTCGGAATTTCGCAGGTTTTGGATTATTTTTCATCTCTCCCAAAATGTTTACAAAATGTTTACAAATGTTCAGTCAAATTCCTTCATTTCCGGGCCGATCTTTTGCGTTGAATAAGATAATGCAATTTTTCTCTTCCAATGCCTAATAGCAGTCTGTTTTGAAATTTATACTTTGCAAAAACTAGACAAAATGTAACGTGGAAAGCGCTTTGTTATAAAAAATAAAATGCCACTCTTTCTCACCTCTCAGTCATTTGTGTTCACTCATACTAGTTAAAATAACTGCGTGTTTCACATAACTTTTTTATGCAGACTGTCGCAATTCCCCCGATGCATGAGTAAGTAATTTCTTGTCTGTCCTTCTACCAAACGGACTCATTCGCTTCAAAGTCCAGATCAGAACAGCAAGTGTGAATAAGAGAGAGATGCTTCCCTGTCAGGCTATGATTCAGGAATAACCCTATTACTGTCACCGACTACGAGGAAATGTGCGGTTAGGATTATCCGGCAAATATTGCTAGATCATTGAGCGTATGATGAAAAAAAAACCTGACGAATGCAAATAATCAATGCTAGATCATTGAGCGTATGATGAAAAAAAAACCTGACGTATGCAAACTAATCAATGCGGTTTGGCGCAAGCTAGATAACATTGTAAGCATAAGCAGACGAAATTTGAGTGCATATTATTTGCAGTTGAGTAGATGATTCCTCGTGTGGACTTATGTTGATAATAACCCCACTATCTTTGCTTTATTGGGAAATTGTCTAAATAAGATTATAATCATCATAGTTATCACAACCGAAGCTCTGTCGTGATTCTAAACTCTCGCGAAACACGTTTTTTGTAACTATTCAACCATCACCAGTCTGACTTGTAAAATACATATTCGCTTTTGAGTAAGGTGTTAGATTTGGAAGATGGTTGGAAAAGCTACTGGAAATAGATATTTTCTAGGTTCACTAAGTGGAATGAACCCGTTAGTTTTGGTTTACTGAAAAAATGCTTTTGTGAGAAGATCGTCTTATTTACTGAGCTTGATAAAGGTAGGTATAAAAATTCACGCCTGCGCTGATGCTGAGGACTGCGGAACACAAGGATTCTATGTTAGTATAAAATGTAAGGATGCGTGCGGCTCTAATTATTGAGTCCCGGTACGATCAGTTGGAAATGATACTTACAAGTAAAATACCATACTAAACACACAAAACTAAATAAGTGTATGCAGTTTGGATCGGTCACTGTTCTACTATAGTGATTATTTCTAATCTTTGGGAATATGAAGGATGCGTTAGAAATTGCCTCGTGGCAACAGCGGTTGAATTTTAAGTAACATATTCAGATATCTACTTCTGTGAACCGTTCCACCATGCATGTATTAACGCCATCTCCCTCATTTATATAATCCAACTCGCTGGATTGTCGATCCGTATTCCTGACCTCCGGGTCTTCCAACGTATGTGGCTGTTATTTTGTCCCTCGGATATAACAAACGAAATGTTGAGGTGTGTGAACTTTAGTGGTCTATGTAAACAACTTCCTTGTAGGTGCCGTATGCTAAAAACAATATGAGTGGAACAGTTAGTGTTCTGCAGGTGTCCAAATCTCTGTAGACTGTTTCTCTTCAAACACTTATGGACTGACGACCAAATATGATCAAAAGGGGTTTTGTACGTTTAAAATATATCACTTATGTTCACCTTTGCATCAAAAATTATATTTAGCAATTTCATGCTTTAAAAATTGAAGAATACCAAGGTGTCTTATTGACGTAATTTTTCACCGGCACGTATAACTTGCCAAAATTTTACCGCAAGCTATTCTGAACAAATGACTATATACCGTTTGAAAATGTTGTTTTAGCGCAATCTCTATTACGGTGCTTGCCAGAAAGGTGCCTAAAATTATTCTATATTCCCATCTTTGTGTGACTTATAGTTCGTAGTGGTGGGACAGCATCAAGAATTCCCGTATCCTTCGGAAATGCCACCGTTTAACGCTTTTCGCCTTGGTTAAAATCCATAGTGAGGAGAAACCTATTACAACTAACTCATCTTCCGAAACAGGAATTCATGGAAGTGACCGGGAAATCAGTGATTTCGCGGTACAGCATCTCACTTTTCTGTTTACTTGGTTGTGCACTGTGCATCAGTGCATCAGAAATGTGGGCCAATTGTAGATTCTCTATGCATATGCATGATTGTATTATTGAGCATGACACATCTATTGTGCTTCTGTTAAATGACTTGTAGGAATATTGAATTAGAAGTAAAAGCAGCAACCGTAGTTTGAATAGTAAGTCTACTTTATTGGCTCATGGCTTCTCAAGTATGATTCTTTCTGTTCGGGAGTGAACGAGCCATTAGAGCAACAAAACACTCCTAAATTTTCGTTTATACTTAAATTTTTCGAGTGGATCATTGCAACAAATCAGGCAAACGTAACAAAAAATTACTTCAAGCGGAATATTTTCAGGGCGTTTTTGGGGCCAAGTTCAGTGGCGCCAGAAATCGTTTGTGTTGCCGAGCAACGGTATGTCGATTTAGTCTGACATCTTCAACCGGCTCAATCAAGAGCTTCTAACAGACTATCTAGAAGCAGTTTATCGCGCACGTGCAGGTGTGGTACAGGCAGACCTAATCAATATTTCAGCGAGGCTTGTCCCAAGTGCGGACGAGAGATCTATTTCGAACCAGCTGCGTAAACGTGTTTTTATTGAGCACTCTATCACCGTACAATGTCCCAATGCATTTTCCCTTTTCCTACCATATGCAAAGTTGACAAGTAGGTGAAGATTGGCCAACGTTAAAAACCCGCAAGCGATCAGTCTGTTAGTTTATTACAACTCCATTTGTGTGATTGTTGTCATTATCGAATTGAGGTAGCTTATTATCCCATGGAAATGTAAATTTTATCTGCACAAGGGACATATTGAAGACGAAATTAAACCCATTATCTTTGCAATTTGCTACCGGGAATACGAATAGACCTAAATTTGGTCTGAATCGCATGATAAGTCTAATGTTTGGCTTTTCGTATCTAGCTAAACTGGCTTTCTACGGTACTTTGCCTAGTTTACCGATTCATTGCTGTCACGCCCTAGAGAGGCATCATGGTTTCGGTGACTGTTTCATTTATGCTCCCGAATTTGTATGTGCGCTGAAAGGGTGTATCAGAAAATGTCTCCCTTTCCCAACTGTGTACGCTTGTAATTTTACGTAAATTCTTCGCTTCTTTCTGGATATTCTGAACGGCTTCAGTTATCAAGTATTCGATTATCTGAGCATTATTTGTTACTCTTGAAAAACAAAAGCATTTAACTCAAGATGGATAAAAATGCTGTTCATCCGTGGCTTGTGCGTGAAAGTTATGTGCAAGTCGCCCGACGTGTGTGAGCGTACATCAGGCTCACTAAATATCATCAACAATATTAAAAACTTGTGAGCCTGGACTTTTCAATTACTGAGTTTGCAAAGTATCCGGTCATATCTAACGTTAACTTTACATAATAATTTCATATCCGTCTGGTGTACCGTCTTTAGATATGGCACTTTAAATTGCCTTTTATCACCCTGAGTTTTACCGCAGCTAGACGCAAGACCAAAACTGCGCAAGGCCATCTGCAGTATACTGCTTCACGGAGGGAAAAGCCGTGATAATATCCGTAAACGAGTGCTCGTCAAAGGAGCCTCGCCACTCAGAACTAATAAGTGAACTTGAAAGGCAACTAGATGTTTGGTGTCGTTTAGGACGACTGGTAGGACGACCAAAGAACGTGGATTTCACTATCGATATAGCAGCGGGGAACCAGTTTGCTTGAGACCATATGTTATAAGTTAAATGCTCCGAATAATAATCGAAGAGAAACGCGTGTTCAGGCAGTTCAACAAGTAAGTGATAGAAAGGTGGTTAAAACCGATTGGCAGGAGTGTATGAATGATATCACTTGTTTTTTTTCCAGTGCACGTTACCTAAGTAATATAGGTTTTTCGGGGTCTGAGTTTTACGGACAGACTTCACTGATGTATTTGAATGCAAAACCTGTTCGTATATATTTCCTATTAGTGGCAAGAATCAGCAGCACCCTTGATTTAGCATAATACTGTTCGAAAACCTATTTGCACCTCTTTGACGAATGATGCTTTTTTCCCTGTGTGAAGATGGTAAACGTTCTACGTTCTATGCAAGTACAAGAAGATTGTGTTTCAGAGACGCATTCAACGCGGTTGTAACTGTATACCTAGTAATGGTATACAAAGTAATGGTTAGTTACTTTGAGGTTAAAAGGCACCTATTATATGCAAAAGTTAAAATTTTGGAAATGTTTACAGGAAAGGAGAACTACTAGGTGGAAATTCAACCGGGATTTTTAGCGTGCTGCAAAACCGTAAACATCAATTAATTTGTAAATCCATCAGTAGCAATATTTAGCTTAAAGATTCAGTGTAATAAAACTTTTATTCGATCATCCCAGAAAAATGTCCTGACCAATGAACTTGCGCCTTATAATCAGTGGTTTTTTATTTCGAAGCCTGTTGATGCAGAATAAAACAGGATGGATAAAGAAACCATGCGGACAAGGCAATCAACCCTCAATGAAGCTAAGCTGGTCTGAAAGGGAACGCACGAATCAAAACCACATCATTCTGGACCAATAAAAAACCGGATTATAATTCCTGACGAATGCGCGTTAACCATAAATCACATCAACAGCGCCTGTTTCACACAGATGGTTCCGAGCTTTTGTAGTCTGTCCTAGTGAGTTCTGTCTTTGAATATATTTTTCGTTTTGTACATTTTGGTCAGTTTGATAGTTACGAGCGTTGTTTATTGGATTTATTTTTTGTTCGCTATGTTAAACAAGACGAATGTAAGTCTTGGTTTTCCACACACCATCTGTATGAGTATACTGAACCCCTGTTTTCGTGCTGTTAAGATCAGTTTAAGCATCTGCACTCGAGTGCCCTAATAGTGACTGAAAAGTCTTCTCGGATGTTGTTTACAACTTAAACCTTGTTACCATCACTACAGTCTCTGAGATTAGATATTATGGTAATTGGTACTTTGTGACTAAAACTGCTGCACAAGCAGGAAATATACAAGGTAAGTCATGATTTTTGTGGAGGTAGGTTTATTTTAATGGTTTTTTTATATATTCAAGGAGCAGCGAAACTGAAGTCTTGCTTGCCTCATTCATGGGACAACGCACGCAATAAATTATTCGTAACATCTCATGATGTGATTGTTTGGTTAGTGGGAGACCTGGGTGTCCAGTGAAAAAAAAATATCTAGCATTCCCTACGGCGATGTAATTTAAGGAAGCATACTGGACTGAAGACACACTCTATCTTGGACGCAAATTCCATTTTTCGTTTCGCCGCGCGCAGCCAAAAACAAGAAGATAATTAGCCCTGCTTACGAATGGGTCGCACACAAAAGAGATCGCGCACCGATTCCTGGACATTGGATAATACTTTTGCTTATCCCACTATGGCAGGCAACTACTAATGTCCGAGTTAACTGGGGGCTGCGTGACCTTGGAAGTCCATACAAAGCCTCTCAATATTTGGGCAGTTTTGAACAACTAGAGTTCAGTAGGGTGCTAGGCTGTTTGAAAAAAAGAGGCCTTGAATGGAGGATGTGCTCACCAAGTGATTAACAATCGGGGGTTCAACCTCAGTTGTGGATTTTGAATTTCACATTATAACTAAACGCTGAGCACTTGTGTTGGAAGGTTGATAAGGTATTCTAAGGACGGTGGGAATATTTGGTTGTCTCCATCCTTGCGCCAAGTTTGAAGGCATAAATGGGCTTCCGCACTTCAAGTGCAGAAGTTCCCAATGGTAAATACCCATCTGTGGTGCAGGGCTCGCATCACCGATTAAGTGCGATGAGATTCTCTTTGTAAGCCGTAAGCAGAGAATGATCACAACCGACCTGCTGCTCAAACCTAGTGGTTTAATATTCATCTGCACACTGGTTAAGCAAACAGATGAGGAGCGCAATGCCATATCTTGAAAAATGGAACATAATTAACTGTACTGCCGATATTACTCTATTACTATTGCTTTCGTCGCATTCCATATTCGACGTATTTTGTTTCATTTATGTTTTCAGCCATTGGAGCAAAAAAAATCAGGGCGCCAAAATGAATTGGGAGATTCTGACCTTGGTAAATGGTAGTAAATCATCTAGCTATTCAACTATCCCTAGTTACTCAATTCTTTGCGACCCTTCCGACACTGCCTCATTAATTTCAGAATTAAACACAAAAGATATATTTTCATCCGCAAAATTGTGTTTGTTGGGACTATACAATGGTTGCTATCCTGTCTGAATGCGAGCAAATGCTCCGAAATTGTAAGCGACTAGACAGCATCCAAGTCAGCAAGCTTCCGGTAGACGACATTTTCATGTTTTTGAATATTCCTTGCCGGTGCATTTTGAACGTTGTCTTTCCGTTCACTGGCAAAATGCATTTTCTGTCTTGAATTAACGCCGCTATTGTTTTAAGTGCGTTCTATTACGACTATGTATTGCCTTCAATTATGTGAGGGTTGGCAAAAAAATTGGAGCTTTTCTACAGGGTGCTTTTTATCTTCAAAATAGTCGATGTCATAGTTTGATCTTGCATGGTGGAGGAGACTCTGCAAACCTTTATCTTATTACACTTGACCTTCACCACATAGAACGCTCCCGGGATAAATTGACGACATCTTGGCTTGAGGTTTGCGTGAATTAATTACAGTCGTCTGCTGAAGTGGACTTATAATTATTGTGTTTTCGTACCACAAATGGATCTGCCTCCGGTTTCTGAATAGAATTAGGACTTGTATCACATTCTCATACATATTCATATGCTGTGCTGATTGAAAACTATCTCTACTGATCAGGAGAGGTGCTACGATTTTCGGGTTAATACCGTGTCCCTTGTCCGTCCGAGGTACTACTGAAATGAAATAAAACTGTCTTATAACGCCAGTTTGTTTGTCTACTTTACCCATAAATTTGAATTTGATCAGCCTAGAGCTGCTACCTTCGATTCCAATTTTTTTATTTCGCATTCAGTACAAGATAGTCTCTACTACAGAGTACAGCCTAGACATTTTTGCAGGCTCCATACTGTTTTGAAGGAAGTCGAAAACGTTTATGTCACACTAGGCGTTTATGTGGCGATAACCCAATACCCTAGTTATGTGGGGTATACCGGTCTTCTGAACTGTGCTTAATTTGAAGCAAAACTTATAATTAACGCACACCAATCAGAGTCAGTGTTTCTGCACAATGAACGTCAACACTTTTGAGGCTTCAAACAACATCTGCGGAAAGTCATTCTATCCGAATTTTATGAGTAGTTGCTCCGTAAACAGTTAAGGAACTAGCTACTCAGATGATTTCATTTGAAATCAACACTTCTTCAGCCCTACAACTACTTCATTTTTGCAGAGTTTGATATCGTGCACGGAGCAAGATAACTGTTTATGTTTGGTAATTATCTAGAACCAAGTAGTTTAGCCATCACAGCCAGAAATTTTCAGTGATAGCTTCCAACACATAACAGAGCTAAAATCGTTCAAATATTGGTTCAGTAATCATATACTGAACTTATACATTGTTGAGTGAAGTCTTATTCTTTCATGCAGATGGAATGCTGCAAAACAGATAAGCAGACCTACTGTGATTCGGTAAGCAGAAAATGCTACGTATTTAGATTGTGGCAAACCAACTCTTGATTTTGTTGTTTGCTTCCCCTTCTTTACAGTCATGTGTCTACATGTTTCTACTGGCCTGCTTTTGTTTAGAGCTCTGTTGAGTGAATTGTGACTTTAGTTAAAGTGCTACATTTCCGTCACAATTTTTAATTGATTAAATTCTAGTTTCCACTTTTAAAACTTTTCATTCGTTTTTTATTTGAACAATCTACTACGTGTGGTGTTCCGGTGCTTTCTCTTGTCCATTGTCCGTGACCCGTTTTTAGGACCGCCCAGTGGCAGTCGGATGTTTTCTCCGCAAATTAGGCCAATTTCGCTAACTTGGTTAACTAATTTTGAGTACAAGCGGGCTTTTTAATTGAACACCAAGTACACCAAGTTCTCGCTTAAGAGCTTTGACTAAACTTAGCCGGTGCAAACGGAACAGTTCGAAGTGACTGATGACCACGTATTTACTACGTGACCCGATATGTATAACAATCATCAGAGCTAGTGATTTCGGAATGTTCACAGTTTAGCTGCTGAGTGGAAAAGGCATGAAACAAATAGATGCCTGTGATTGTGCGTTGACATTGTTGACCATCGAACTGTAAGCAAAGTGCTACGCAGTGATGGGATTTAATGGGATTTTGAGAAATACGGCGCACCGAATCTACTTGAAATGTCCCTAAAATCTACTGGCTTAGTGAGCCTTGTATGAACTGAAATTATTAAACAATAAGATAGTAGGTATGAATTCCACTTTACGAGACACACCACCCTTGATATGTCACACATATTAACACTGGCGTCCCTAGAGGTACCTACACAGGATTCATTCATTTCAAAGCACGGACAGCGTAATCGTTTTAAGAGGAAACGTTTGCTAACTATGGCTTTATGAGCAACTCAGTAGTCTCAAAAGCTCCAAAATCGCGTCTTTCCACTTGTGCAATAAAAGCTTAATACTATTCGGATTTTAATGGGAGATTTCTTGTTCCTGTCAGAAGGCTGTCTGGTTAGGGATTCTTTCTCAGCACATATTTTAGGCTGACAATTCCCTTCATTTTAAAGTGTCATTCATTTACAAGTGAAAAGAATGGACTTGTGACAAACAAACTTATGTACCGTTTTGTGTCATCAGCATTCCATAACGCCCCTACTTCCATTAAAGCATATATGCCTGCTAGTCTATGACAGTGTGTGAAGAGATACTTCGCATGCGGACCTAAAGGCTCGACCTCTTCTTGTTTAGGCCTCGCGAAATCGAGAAATTTACCAATGTGCACTACTGTCCCCACTTATAACTCAGTATTCTAATAAGTTTGTGGGCCCCCTCAAACCATATACGACGAAAGGTCGTAAAAATTAGTTAGTCTCCTATGTAAATTCGATTTGTCAACGGGACTGAAAGAGCGGTATCAGCTTCTTCGGAAGAAAAAACACGACTATCCATCTAAACGATACCTTCCGACAAAATGGTTATATCATCCCAAATAATTTGTCATGCAATATACATTTTCATGTTATATTAGATCTTAGATCTTACAAACTATATATATTAGAGTAATACAACATGGATTTCCTTTGACAGAGCTTCGCAAGAGAACGTGGGTTTTCACGCGTTTCACCCATCTGACAGCACTCGCTTGGTTGCTACCTCACGTTTTGCTGGCCCAGAAAAGACGTGGGTTTGCCACCCATTATCACAAAATTGTCACCGTCGCAGTTGGTTTGCATTAATTTCCGCAAGACTATTCAGTCCTTTACGGATCAAAGTTTGCCAAGATCGTGTGCGTATTTACTTTGATTTGCAAGTTTTCTAATAATATGCCAAGGAGCGATGAAGCATTTCATTAATCCCTGACCAAAAATTAAAACACTATTAAAATCCATCAGGAGGTTTGCCAACGACGAATTGCAATCTACTTAGGGGTTAATTGAGTGAGGCTTGATTTAGTTGAACTGATATGAAGATGATGCTTTGAAACCGTTTGTTGATATCTATTTCTGGGAGAAAATATTGGAAACAGTATTCGTAGGATTTGCTTTCCTCAGTGCAGTCCATAAATGATAGGGAGTTTGACAAACGTTTGTGAAATTTTACTGAATTTCTCATCAAAGGGGATTGATAAAACACGAAGTTTTTTTCATCAACCCCTGCTGAAAAAGCTTACTA